GTCGCCCCGCAAACCCGCTCCCCGGCCCAACCTCAGGACAGACGGGGCCACGGGCGCCCCTGGGGTGCTGTTCGCCCCCTCCGTCCCGGCCCCTAACCTGCCGGCGGGCAAAATGAACCACCGAGACCCGCTGCAGCCCTTGCTGGAGAACCCGCCCCTGGGGCCCGGGGCCCCCACGTCCTTCGAGCCGCGGAGGCCCCCGCCCCTGCGCCCCGGCGGGACCTCAGCTCCCGGCTTCCCTCATCTGCCCACAGCCAACCCCACGGGGCCTGGGGAGCGGGGCCCGCCGGGCGCGGTGGAGGTGATCCGGGAGTCGAGCAGCACCACGGGCATGGTGGTGGGCATCGTGGCGGCGGCGGCGCTCTGCATCCTCATCCTCCTCTACGCCATGTACAAGTACCGCAACCGCGACGAGGGCTCCTACCAGGTGGACCAGAGCCGGAACTACATCAGTAACTCGGCCCAGAGCAACGGGGCGGTGGTGAAGGAGAAGGCCCCGGCCGCCCCCAAGACGCCCAGCAAGGCCAAGAAGAACAAAGACAAGGAGTATTACGTCTGAGCGCCCGGCACCGCGCCCCACTGCCAGCTGCCCCTCCCGGGAGGCCCGGGAGGAGGGTGCGGCCTCTCCCCGCCGGGGCCTGGGGACCCTCTCCCGGCTGCCTCGGGCTTCTCTCTCAAAGAGGAAACGCAAAAAAGAAAAGGAGTAACCCCGTGCTCGTCCCCTTCCTCCTCTGTCCGCGGCGCAAGGCACTGTCAGCCCCGGGGCTGTCTGTGCCTCTCGGCTCCGCGCCGCCAGGCAGGGCACGTGCTCACAGCCCTGGGTTGATTTATTTTTTTAAGGGGGGTAGTTTTATTTTGGTGGGGTTGGGCGGGAAGGAAGGCTGGGGTTTTGTAAAGTGTCCACTACACGTTGTTCATTTCCCTCGATTTTCCTCCGTCCCTCCGTCCCTCCTGCCTTCCTCCCCTTCCCAAGCCCTCCGGTCGTCCCCATCCCAGGCTTGCTGTGTCTCTCCGGCCCCACCCTCCGTTCCCACTTCTCCTTTTTTTGGTGTGCGTATCTGGTTTCTCCCTTTCCTCCCTTTGGGTTCCCAGAGTCGGTGGGAGAAGAGCGGGAGGGTGGCCCCCCAGCGGCCCAGCGGGTGGGTGCGGAGGGGCGGGGCAGTGGGGTTGTCCCCGAGTGTCCCAACTCACCTCACCCGGAGAGGCACCCGCCTGGGGCGGCCCAGGGGAGGGGCTGAGGCCTGGCTGCAGGCCAGTGGTGTGTGTGCCGCCGGCGACGGGCAACGTGCATTGACATTGACGGGGAAGCTGCGAGGAGCAGGGGTGGGGGCGGGCGGGGGGAGGGCAAGGCAAAAGCAGATATATATTAAAGACAAATACTCCATACCAAGGGCAGCAGCCTGTGGCACCCACTGGGCGGGGCGCAGGGAAGGGAGGGAGCGAGGTGGCATCTGTGGACTGCTGGGTCACCTCTCGGCCCACGGGCTCCCTGCTCCCCCGGTTTTTTTCTCTTTGTTAACAAATGTGTCTGAGTCTTGGAAACACCCCAACCCCGGAAATGTGTGGGAAAAAGAAAACAAAAACTTTCCAAATTCCAACAGTCCTGTGCCCGTTTGTTCCTGGTGGTGCTGTTAGGACCCTGGGCCTGGCTTTGGGCTGGGGTAGGGGCCCAAGTGGGGGCACGTGAGAGCTGGTAAGTCACCCGCACTTTTGAACTGAGCACAACTTTGGGGTCCTGGTGCCACTTGTCTGTGTCTGGGGCCTGAGCCCCTGTGGGTGGGACTGCAGGCCGGACTCAGCCCTTGGGCTTGTGAAGATGCTGGTCTGTGTCCACAAGGTTCCCTAGACCTGCCTTCTCAGTCTTCCCAGCCCCTGCTGCCCAGAGGCATCATGTGGCCCCAGAGACAAATCCCCAGAGGCTTAATGTTGCCAAGACCCCTGGGGCTGTACAAGGGGCCTGACCTGGTATGGGACAGACCTGCCTGACCCTGGAGGGAGAGGTGGAAGCAGAGCCTCCTGCAGTCAGGGAGAGTATCAGTCATGGAGACCACAAAGCAAGGCCACGGTAGGGGTGGGTCTATGTTAAGCCTCTCAGGGGCAAGAAACAGACGCAGGAGACTCGGATTCCACGTAGGACCCACATGTGTGGCGTCCAGGAGGAGAGCGAGTGGGCCTGGATCCTGGGGGCGGCGGTGGCGGTGGTCACACCACTTGACACACGAGATGTGACTCAGCCATGCTTCTGCCACTCAGGGCTCCTCCCTCAGTTGGCTCCTTCTGCGCCTTCTGCGTGGTAGATCTTGTCCCTGTCCTGGCTCTTGGCTCTGTGTCGTCCATCACTGCCGATCTGCATCAGGCGGCCCTGGCTGGGGGCCAGCTCAGACTCCAGGCATTTCCAGTCCAAAAGTCTGGCCAGCTTTAGGCCTGGGCACCTGGGTACCCGCAGGAGCCTACTGGGCAGGGGAATGTCCCTGACGGGGTGGCAGATGCTGCCCAAGTGGCTCCAACTGGCTTCAGAAGCCCAGCTTGCCCACTGTCATCTCCCCCTTCATCCTGGAGGGGAGCTTGCCTTAGGACCTTCCCCAGCTTGATGCCCCCCCCCCCAGACCTTTTGAGAGTCCTCATCCAAAGTTCTATCAAGGGAGGGGTCCCCGCCCACCCCCAGGTGTGGATTTCCAAGGCCTTGCCTCTCCTTGCCCTCCTGAACCAGCCGCCTTGGGGTGAGCCTGCAGCCCCGATTCCCCTCCCCCACCTGTAGCCTGAGGTCACATGCTGAGGTCAGGGAGTCTGGGGGTGGCCCTGATGTAGGCAGTCCTGCCAGGACATCCTGTCCCTCTGCTGGCCACGGCTCACCCCTGAGGCTCTGTGCCGCTGTGCCCTGCTCAGGGGCAAGGCTCTCTTAGGTTCTGCTGTCCTTGTCGGCGCTAGTAAAAAATAAATCAGTCAGGCCGGCAAGAGTTCCTTGGTAATGAGAAGGGAAGGAATATTCCTATTCCAGGAATTTTTAGAATGGCCCTGATGAGGTAGGGGGTAGTCCAGGAAAGGATGGCCCTAGTCCTGCTGGTTGCCATGTGACTGGGGACTGTCTTTCCCTTTCTGCATAAGAAGCTGAAGAGCTCCTGTCACTAAGGAAAGATTCAACTCATTAGACTTGACCTTCAACTCATAGGACAGTCACCCAAGTCTCAGTGTCTTTGTCCTGTGCATCAGATGGTGACTGTGGCACTTGAGCCTTAACTGCGCTCCTTGGGACCTGGCTTGCCTGGCAGGGACCCCAGGAGAGGCCCAAACAACATCTGGGGGCAGAAAAGCCACACAGCTTGGCTCCTCGGAGGGATCCTTGCAGGGATGTATCAGGAGATGCCACCTTGTGGGTACCAAGGACAGGGGCTTGCGGAAGAGGCTCCTGGGGAAGTCTGGCTGATGCCCTTTGACCTGGAAGACCTACCCAGCCACCCATGCCCCCAGGGAGAACCCTAGTGCCAGTGGTTTGGGAGGAAGCCCCTTTCCTGGAGGTGGGTATGGAGCCCATGCCCAGCCCTGCCCTCCACGAGGCTTCCTGGGGGAGCTTCAGGTCTGGTTGGGGCCAGGAGAATGGATAAAGGGGGTCCTCAGTCCTTTCCTCAGTCCCTGCTGCGTGAAGCCCCTGCTGCCATGAGATGAGACGCTGGGGTGATCGGGGACCCCTTTCCCATATTCAGTTCCCTTGTCCTGCTCTGTGGGATGCCCTAGTGGATTTGGAGGTCAGGAGCCCCCAGGTTGAGCTTTACAAAGAGGGTATGTCCCAAGTGGAGGCCTGCCATTGGGTGGGCAGCCCCCAGGGGGTGTAGGCCTCCTCCTGGGCAGGACACCCACTTGGCCAGTGCTGCTGCTGGCTCCCCAGAGTGGCAGGGCCCTGGGTCTCCAGCTACAGTCCTGTTGAGTTAGTAAAGGGAGGACCCCGGGTCCTGGCAGCTGTGATCATCTGGAAAGATCAGGAGTGTGGCACTCTGTGGATGGAGGGACAGCTCTGACCTGAGGGGTGAGCAGGAGGGACATACTGGGGAGAGGGGCAGCCACCTCCTCACTGGGTTCTGCCTCCCAGAAATTTATGGGCACCCTGGGGCCCCAAGAATGCTGAGCAAGTCCAAGAAAGGCGCTGGCTCTCAGCGGGCGGACAAAAGATGAAGCCAGGCCGGGCCGCCAGCTGTGTGGAGGGACCCCTGCTTCTGCGCTTTTGCCCTGGGGATCTTCACTGTGGGGTAGTCAAGGGAGGATGGCCAAAGGGCATGAGCCTCAGATGCCCAGGGGTCACACTGTCAAGACCAGGCCAGGCCAGATTCCATCTCCCGGCGGCCAGAGGCTGCTTCGTTTTCCCATTGACCTTTCTGTGTGTGCACGTGTGTGTGCATAGAGGTGTGTGTGTGTGTGTGTGTGTGCGTGCTTGTGCACACAGATGTTAGGACTGGTCACACAGGCACAGGTGGACTCAGAGACGCTCTCAGCACGTCCCCTGGTGGTGTAGCTGGGGGTCCTGTCTGGTGGGGATCATGCTGGGCGGCGCATGACCTCTGCCTGCAGCCACACACCTGTGGAACCAGAGGACCCTGCGGGGTCCAGGTGGTCCTGGGAGGGATGAAGAGGCCCTGCTGCTGCCCTCGAGAAGTGTCTCTGCAGGCCCAGATAGTGAGTCAAGGTCACTAGGGCCACAGTTGGGCTTGGAGACCTACAGACCGGGGCTGAGTCCTGCTCTGCCTCCTCCTGTCCGTATGGCATGGGCAACCGATTCCTACCTGCCTCAGTAATTCCATCTGTAAAATGGGGCAGCTTTTCCTCACGGAGTTCAGAAGATGATGAAAGGAGATGGAGCCGAGAGGCCCAGCACGACCCATGGCAAGGGCTGCACACAGCAGTGCCTGGGCCCGGCAGACCGGCGAGGAGCCCCCAGACCTCTCCTGCCCCCTCCCCCAGGCAGGTAGACCCTGGGGGCTCATCACAGGAGTCAGGAGGGCAGCCGTTCATTTGTTCCTTTTTTCACTCTTTATTCAATCCCACATACCACTGTCCCCCTGACCAGCTCTGGGTGGGACCACCTGAGCTCATCTGTTGGTTGGTGGGAGGAGCTGGGTGTGTGGATGTGACCTTGGGCCAGGGTGTCACTAGCACTGTTGGCTAGTGCTGTGCCCCCCGGAAGGAGGGCCCTGTCCTGGGCCTGGGAGGCCAAGAGGATTTCAGGTGTGAAGGTGGGGCTGCCGCAGAGCACAAAGCCCGGCGTGTGGCTGGAGTGTGGTGAGGCATGGGGAGGGGCTGGGTGGGCCAGGCCAGGCTGCCAAGGGCATCAGGGTGAAGCCGAGGAGCTCGGACTCCATTGCTTGCCCCAAATCAGGGGAGATGATGGTCACCTTTGACCCCTGGGGCAGGTGGACAAGAGGGGTGGCGAGCATCAGGGTGTCGCTGGCCCTGGCCTCTCGTCTGTGCAGCCAGAGGGAGGCCAGGTGGTAGGATAGGTGGAGGGCCTCCTGCCAGCCCAGCTGCCCTTTGCTCCTTCTGTGTGGGAGGGGCTCCTCTGTGCTCTGGAAATGGAGGCCTTGCTCTCTTCTGCCACCTCTGGAGGACACGAGAAGCCTCCTCTGATGGTCCATTGCAGGCGTCCCAGGAGCTAGAGCTGGGTGGCCTTGAGGACCACACACCTCGGAGGGCTGTGTCTTGCTTTCTTTAGTGCCCTGTTCGGGAAGGAGGCAGAGGGGTGTGTCACTCGAGCACCTCACTGGGGGCGGGAGGGCAGCCATCAGAGGGCTTTGCCGACGGAGTCCGGGACTTGTGAGGACCTCAGCACACCTCTGGATATCCCCCTGACAAGGCCACATCCCCCCTTCCCCGTGGCCTCTCTTGGGGTGGCCTGGGGACAGCTGGGCCATTTACACCTCCTGTGGTGAAATGCAGGGCAGAGGCTAAAGCCTTACAGTCAGGGGCAGACCCAGCCCTGGCTGCCTCCACTCCCCCAAAGCTGTGCTGTGTGACTCTGGGCCAACCCTCTATCTCTCTGGGTCTCTACTTCTCTGTTCAGTGAGGAGGGTGAGTGCCCAGGCCAGCCCGTTCTGGGGTTCTCTGGAAGAAGGGAAAGAAGAAAGGGAGCGCGTCCCAGGGCTGGGCCACTCACTGGTTCTGTATATCATGGATGGTGTCGGGCAGCGGCAAGTTCTGGGTTTCGGGCAGCAGGAGTGCAGCCAGGCCACTCAACAATGGCACTGTCCCGTGAACCAGCAGGGGCAGTGAGGGGGCATAGACGCCCAGCAGCAGGACCAGGGGTCCCAGGATGGCTCCCCCACGGGCGGCCATCTGGCCCAGGCCCACCGCCGTCATCCTGCCGCGCAGATGCTCCTGTGAGCGGCCCCCGTATCCGCAGGCAGCTTTGACCTTCTGCCCCAGCCCAGCCCCACGTGGCCCAGGGACTCAGGCTGGGCCACGACTTGCCTGGACAGCCCGAGACCACATGGAAGGGAGTCACGTGGCAGGAGCATCTGGGTCTGTGGCGGCCACCCCACCTCCCTCCCAGCCTAGGGCACCCTCTCCGGGGCCTCACCTGAGCACCGTGGGGAAGAGTTCACTAAGGAAGATGCTCACGCAGGTGAAGCTGGCCCCTAGCGCCCCCAGCCCCAGCACGGCCAGGGCTGAGCGCAGGGCCCCCATCTCTGTGGACACAGACGGGTTAGCAGGATGGGCGGCAGGCCTAGTTCTTTCCTGCTGAAACTCATCCCTGAGTCCTCATTTGTCCCATCCCGTCCCCTGGACTCTGCTGCTGCTTCCGCTGCTCCGGCCCAGCCAGGCCCTCGCGCCCCAGCAGCCTCCTCAGGGGGCTGCCGCTCTGGCCCTGGCCCTCGGAGGAAGGGGCCGAGGACCCCTGTTCCTGGCTCTGGCCCCGTGGTCCTGCCTCCCTGGGGGGTCAGCCGGGCTGTGCCTGCTCACCGTGGGGCACCAGGGTGTTGGCCAGGACGCAGAGCCCCGACAGCACCAGGGAGCCGGCCTGCAGCGGGCGGCGGCCCAGGCGGCTCAGCAGCAGCAGTGTGCCCATCTTGGCCGGGAGGTCCACGGCCCCGAGGAGCAGCTGGAGCAGGAAGATGTTGCTGCCCAGGGCCTGCAGGTTCAGGGCCAGGCCGTAGAAGGTGAAGGCAAAGGCGAACCTGGGGGCCGTGGGCAGGTGAGCCGGCCGCGTCCTGTCGGGAGCCTGACTGCAGAGGGGCAGGTGACCGGGTTGCCGCACCTCCTGGGGGCACTCTCAGGCCAGTGGCCAGACAGCAGAGCCCGCAGGGCCCTTGGCCACTTGCCGGCTCAAGCCCTGACTCCGGGCTCCCCTGGCAGCCAGCAGCTGAGGCCGGCCTGGTGGGGTGGGGTCCAAGGCACCTACCAGATCATCAGGGAGACCCAGGTCCGGAGGCGCAGCCCGGGTGTGCAGAACAGGGTGCCCAGGCTGACGGGGTCCTGGCCCCTGCTCACCTCCTCCTGCAAGGCTGAGAGCACGACCTGGGGGCGGGGGCAGAGGTGTCGGTGCTGGGACACCTGCAGCCCTTCCTCCCGGATACCCTCACCGGGAGCTGGCCCATGCTTGGCCTCCTGGCTGGGGCAGGGAGAGGCACTGAAGCCCAGGTCCTCACCTCCATGGTCAGTGCGTCCCCTGCTGCCCTCTTGCCGTTGATGGCGGCCACCCTCTGCAGCTCCTGCAGGCCCCAGTCCAGCTTGCCCGTGATGAGGAGCCATCTTGCGGATTCGGGCAGCCACCTGGAGTGCAGGGGTGTGTGGGGGTCACTGCCTGCCCCTCCCCCTCCTCTCTGTCCCCTGTCTCTCAGCTGGAAGGGGCCTCCCTGGCACCACAGCCTCAGGCTCCGAGCTGTCGGGTCCATGCTGCAGGGGACAGCAGGGTTCAGCAGGTGGGCCTCCGCCTCCCTCCTCCCTGGGCTGGGGTTGGGGCCCACCCTCTGTCCCTGGACCAGCTGCTGCCGGTGGGTGACCCTGTTCCTTCCCACCTCCTCCTGCCCCACAGCCCTCCCCCACCTCCTTCAGGAGCCAGGCTGGGCTGCACCCAGGCCCCAGGGGCTGCGAGTCCACAGAGTGGGTCTCCTGCTCCAGCGCCCCTGGTGTCACGTAGCCCCCTGTTCATCCTTCTTGCTGCCAAAGTCTCACCTTCCTCCCCAGGCGCAGGCCAGGAGCAGGTCTGTGATGTCACCCGTTGGCCAGCCCCGTCATCCCCTCTGGACCCCTCACGTCTGGCTGCGCCCACGGCCGCCTGCCCCGGCCTGCGCTGTGTTGCCTGCCCACCTCCCCACAGAGCCTCCTGCAGGCCCAGGTCCCTTAGCCAGGTGAGCTGTCCTGTGGGGAGCCACCTGCCTCACACCCACCAGGGTCCTGAGCTTGTCTGGGATTTGCAGAACAGGGGACAGAAGGGGGCTGGGGGTACAGACTACGGGCGACGAGCCCCAGTGGCTTGTCAGACTTGGGCACAGGGAGGAAGGGAGAGGTGTTGGGGGCCTTTGGACTCCAGCATCAGGTGGGGGGACTGCCCCCAATATGGGGAGAGCAGGTATTGGTAGGGAGGTGTCACAGGCACCTGGAGCTGAGGCTGAAGCTGGGGTGGGGCACAGTTTGAGGTCTGCAGCACTTGGAGGGGTTGGAGATGCTGGCTGAGACCCTCGAGGGGGAGGCCCTGGGCCGTACCCACTGTGTGCTTTGGGGTGGCCAAGTAGCAACACCTAGGCCACAGACAGTGAGTATGGGGGCTCCTGGAGGCCTCGGGACGTAATCCTGGGCGAGCGAACCCCGGGTTGGAGTGAGTTTGCGTCACAGGCTTGTGGTGTGCAGGCTCCCTCCAGCCCAAGTGACCCTGGCCTCCCGCACTGACAGCCTTCTGTCCCCAGGGAACGGAGAGTCTCCTACACTGGGCTCCTCAAGAGCGGGCAGGGTCTCTTCCAGGAGGGGAGAGGGTGCGGCACCCACCATGAGTACACAAAGCTGAGGATGAAGGGCACAGAGATGGCCAGCTGCAGCAGCGACCAGTCACGCACACCATAGGCCAACGCGGCCATCAGCATCTGGCCAAAGCTGAAGCCCACGGAGTTCAAGGTCATCACCAAGGGGCGGGCCCGGGCCGATGTCCACTCCATCACTGCGGGAGACGGCGTGGGTCAGCCCGAGGCCCGTCACAGCCTACCCTGCACGGCCCCAGGTTGGGGGACCTACGGAGACTGCCCGAGTTCATCATGATGCCCGCCACGGCGAAGGCCACCAGGAAGCGGAACAGGCAGTACAGGGGGAAGGTGGGGGCGAAGGCAGCCACCGTCCCCGACACGGCAGTCTGCAGGTAGTTCCATGTCAGCACCCTCTTGCGCCCGAACCTGCGGCACACACACCAGGGTGGCGGATCCAGGGCGTGTGGCGGGGTCACCGGGATCTGGACCTGTGGAGCCCACCCTGTGCCCACCGAGCCGAGGAAGCTGCCCTTGGTCAGACCTCGGGAGAGTCAGGGAGCGCTGGAGGTCAGCGGAAGGCGTGCTCAGCGGGGAAGGGCTGCCCGTCACCAGAGGCCCTCCGGGCACCCAAGGCTGGTGTGGCCACGCGCAGAGTGACGAGCCACAATGACACTCTACAGCCCCAGAGCAAGGCGAGTGACCCTGTGGCCCGAGGAGCGACCAGACTTGCTCTGGTGACATGGAAAAGGGACCCACCAGGACCGGGGGGCTCACCTGTCCGAGACGTGGCCACACACTGCAGCTCCCACCAGGACCCCCGCCAGATAGATGGACTGGGACACGGGCTTCAGGAACTGAGAGTCACACACCAGGTCCCACTGGTGGGAGAGCGGGGGAGGGGTAAGCCCAGGGGGGCGGGGGCCGGGGAGCTAGTGGGTGGCTCCTACGGAGGGGGCCCCCTCTGGGGGCGTGGAGCAGGGCCCCCGGGTTCTGCCAGGGCACCGCAGTGTGGCTTGGTCTCCTGAGGAGTGCACTGCCACCCCACCAAGCCCTCAGTGGCTCCCTATTGCCCCTGCCCTGCCCAGAGGCCACATTCCTCCTCTTCTTCACAGAAACGCCCTTTCCTGCTTGCTGGGACCAGCTGTCCCTCTCCACTGGCCCAGATTTGTCTCATGTCCCTTATGAGAAGGCACCTGGGCTTGCCCTGTGTGCTTTGTCCTGGAGGAACCCAGCAAATGGTCACTAAGCGCCCCATGACTGACAGCCAAGTGTCAGCAGACACATTGGGAGGTCCCCGTCCCCTGCAGGGCTGTGTGGCAGAGGCCCGGCTGAGAGCTGACCCCGGAGCAAGGGAGGCCGTTTTGAGTCCAACTACTGATCTGTGGCTTTGACCCCCAGGAGCCAGGTGTGGCCCCTTACCTTGGTCACGGTGGTGGAGGTGAAGCTGCTGCGGTCATAGACCCAGCCGTCCACACACGGCTCTGTGGCGGCCTCGCTCCAGCTGGTGGCCGTGGCGTTGGGGTCCAGGAGCTGCCACTGCGGCTGGCGGAAGCGGAGACACTGGTGTGGCTGCTGGTTGGGGCCCCGTGGGACGGAGACAGCCAGGAGGGCCTGGGGACTCAGGGCCCCTGTGACGCCGGCCTGGCTGGTGCCGTTGTCGGCCGAGAAGTTCTCTGCCATGTTCTGCATGGTGAGCAGGACGATGGGGACCACCAGGGCCATCAGCTGGAGAATCTGGAACCTGCCCGTGCCACCTACTTGGTCTAGGAGTTCCAGAAATGCCATGGCGCCGGCCCAGGGGGCCCAGGGAGGCGCCCGCTTCACAGAAGCTGGTCCAGGGCCCAGGGCCACGAGGCACAGGCCTGCGCTTCCCACAGCAGTGACCCCTCCGGCGTCCCCAGCCGGGCAGCCGGGAGCATGTCAGGGGCCACCGGCTTTGCAGAGCTGGGCCTGGGACTCCTTGGCATCCGCTCACTGGCTGTCACTTGGGGTGGCTCCCACCGAGCCCTGGAGCCACATGCTGTGACCCTGAGGCCACCCACATGTCCCAGGGACACTGCTGCCCTGGGCCTCTGGAAAAAGCTGACTTTGGAAAGTGGGACTTGGAGACGGAAGCCACCCACGCTGGAATTAAAGTGTGACCAGGGGCCGCTTAGGGCAGAGGGTTTAGCAATCATCCCAGACAAAGTTTAACCCGGCCCTGAGGGAGGCGCAGGCGCAGGGGATCGGCAGGGCTGGCCTCCCTCTGCCTCAGGGAACCCGGGCTCTGCGCCCGTGGCTGCGTGCCACCCCCCAGGGCCCCTGCCTGCCTCACAGGGTGGCTGTGGCCATGGGTTGGCCCAAGAGCAGGTGGCCCCGGGATTCCCCTGTTCTTGGAGCCTCCAGCGGCGTGGGCTCGGGGACACATGTGTCCCCATGCGTCCTAGCCTGTGGGCTGCCATCACTGAGGCCTGCATCCCCTCTGCCGCTACCCTCTCCTGAGTCACAGTGGGGCTTTCTGAGTTCACCCGATGCCCTGAGCTCAGGGTGTCCACAGCCACCTTGGCATGGCCGAGGCTGAGGTCCCCACAGGTGCCTCCCTGGCAGCTTCCCTGTCTCAGCTTTTAGAGGCTCCATCCTTCCAGCTGCTCAGGACGACACCAGGGGGTCACAGGGGAATCCTGTCAGTTCACCTTCAAAACTTGTCCGGGGGCCAGGTGCAGTGACGCTCTCCTGGGATCCCAGCAGCTTGGGAGGCTGAGGCAGGAGGATCGCGAGTTCAAAGCCAGCCTCAGCAACTTAGCGAGGCCCTAGGCAACCTAGCAAGACCCTGTCTCTAAATGAAATATAAAAAGGGCTGGGATGTGGCTCAGTGGTTAAGCGCCCCTGGGTTCAATCCGCGGTACAAAGGAAAAAGCGTTCAGGAATGCCACCCGCTCCACGGCGACCGTCTTGGCCCGTCGGGGTGAAGCTCCTGGGTCAGTGCAGTGGCCTCTCCATAGACTCCTTGCTTCCACCTTTGAACCTTTATGGAATATTCTCCGCCTGAAGAACAGGGGTCAGGCCACATCACGGTTGTGCTCAAAACATGGCCGCACCTCCTCACCTCTCTCAGAGTAAAAGCCAGTCTTTACAGTGACGCCGTTGGGCCAGCCATTGCCTCTCCAAGCTCATCTCTAGTCCTTGCTCTCCACACATCAGCTCCCACGACCTCCTTGCTGTACTTTGTGCCACATGCATGGCTGCCTCAGGGCCTTTGCACCTGCTGTTCCTCTTGCCTGGGCCCCTCTTCTCCCAGAGATTCCCGTGGAATCCTGAGGATTCCTTCAAGTCTGTGTTAGGAAGGCTTGTTCTCAGCATGGACTTCTCTGAACTCCCTGACTAAACTTCATCTGCCCCCATCCTTGGCACCCCCAGTTCCGTTGCTTACATCTTTTGTCTCCGTTATACTTACCACCATGGGTCACAGTACACGTTACTCATTCATTTGTTTCTGTTTAGCTTCCTACCATTTGAATGGAAGCTCCTTGAAGGTGCAGATAATGGCTATTTTGTTCACTGCTCATCCCATCACTTGGCACACAGTTAGCACTCAAGCGTGGAATAAATGAGTAAATTAATTAATGAGCAAATGCTTGACTTACGTAATCCCAATGTAATCCAGGATCCATTGGAACCAGTATCCTCCTTGTGGGGGCTACTCAGTTTCAGGATCCAGCTTCCCAACTTGCTCTTTAGTTGAATTCATTTTGCTTTTTAAACCTCCTATTAAGATTTTTATTTCTCCAATCATGGACGTTTTATTTTCAGAATTTGTAATTTTCACTTCAAAATCCCTATTTGGTTCTTCCTATTCTGACTCTACCATTATTTTGGTTCTGCCTGTTCTTGTTTCCTAATTTCCACTTCTTGTTTCATGGGCACACTCATTTCCTCACTCTCCAAGAGGATTCGGAATGAGCTTTTCTGGTTGCTATGGAGACCCATTCACAGAGTAGATTTCACAGCATGTTGACAGAGGTGCCAGCTTCTGCAGGAAGCCCTGGGGATACAGCAGGGAACCCAGGAGATCATTCCCTGCTTTCCTCTCATGCTCTGTGGGAAGGCCTGCCCGTGGGGGAGGGGAAGCTGGCCAAGAAATACACGAAAAGTAGTGAGTATGCCACGGAGAGCTACTAGGCCACATAAAGGGTAAAGAGTGAAGGGAGCAGGCTGGGGCTGGGGCTCAGTGGTAGAGCGCTTGCCTAGCATGTGTGAGACTCTGGTTTCGATCCCCAGCACCACATAAAACTAAATAAACAAAATGAAGGCATTGTGTCCATCCACAACTAAAAATATTTTTTAAAAAAGAGTTTAGGGGGCTACTTTAAGCAGTGCCATCAGGGGAGACCTCTCTCTGGGGGTGATATCGGAAGAGACCTGAGTAGGTGAGAGACAAGACACTCAGCTGGAGAACACTCAAGGCAGAGGGTGAGCCTGGGCAAAGGCCCTGGGGTACGAATGTTCTTGGACACTCAAGGAGTAGTAAGGGAGTCAGTGTGGTCAGGGTGCAGTGAGCAGAGAGAGTGGGAGGAGTTGGGGGCGACCAGCTGCAGGATCAGAACCCACAGCTCCTACAGCTCTGATATATGTATTAAAAGACCCCTGGCTTCCATGAAGGAAGGGGCCGTGTGGGGGAGGGCCCCCAGGAGCTGTGGGGTCAGGCAGGCCAGCAGTATTGGTAAGGGGCTCAGGTCCGCACTAGCCCCGGGGAAGGAAACGCTGGGTTGGGATGCTGTGAGCTTGGCATGGCGTGAGCCATCCGGGCGGGGGTGTCACGGAGTGACTGGGAGTTACTAGGGCATGAAAGGCATTTCAGGTCACAGGGCTGGATGAGTCCACTTTGGGAGTGACCTTTCATAGCCAGGAGGGGTGGTTTGAGGCTGAGCCTTCCAGTCTCTGGTTTTGAGAGGTCAATAAGGGAGGCGGGGCCAGAGAGAGAGAGAGAGAGAGAGAGAGAGAGGTGTGTGTGTGTGTGTGTGTGTGTGTGTGTGTGTGTGGTGTGGAAAACCAGGACAGCCGGGTTCCAGGAGCTGGATGGAGAGCGTTTGACCGGGTCATCCACAAGGTCAAGTCTGGGGGTGGGGGAGATGAGGACCGGCCGGGGAGCCGCAGCGTGGACTTCTCCAGTGACCATGGCTTGAGGGTTTGCTGTGGACTAGGAGTGAAATCCCCACCCGCCTGGGTTCCTTGAGGACTGGAGGAGAGGAAGCAGGATCAGTGAACGCAGTTACACATTAAGAAACTTTGTATACGGAGAAGCTGGGAATCGGGGAAGTGGTTTGAATGGAGCAGACTGATGCTAGCTGCTATAACAAGCAACCCCCAAATATATAACGGCTCAGACACCATAGAGGTCTATTTCCGCAGAGGTTTATTTATTTTGTTAATCAGTTATTTTTGTGGATCGAATCCAGGGGCACTCTACCATTGAATTATATCCCAGTCCTTTAAAAAAAAATTATTCTTAAGTTTTAGGTGGACACAATATCTTTATTTTACATTTATGTGGTGCTGAGGATCGAACCCAGTGCCTCATGCATACTAGGCAAGCGCTCCACCACTGAGCCACAATCCCAGCCCCCCGAGGCCTTTTTTTATTTTGAGACAAGGTCATGCTAAGTGGCCTGTGCTGGCCTCAAACTTGAGGTCCTCCTGCCTCAGTGTCCTGAGCTGAGCTCACTGTGCACCACTGTGAGCAGCTAGATGTTTAGTGGTGGTTTTTGTTTTTTTTTTTAGGTACTTGGAAGTGAACCCAGGGTCTTGTGCCTGCGAGGCAGCCCTCTACCAACTGAGCTATGTGCCCAGCCTAGAAGTTTAGCTCTTGATGGTGTAAAGTCCCTAATGTGTGTTGCTGCTCAGTGGGCAGCTTCCTTCCATGAGGTTTCCGGGACATCGGCTCTTCCCGTCTGTGGTGCTCATGTGTATCCAGCCATGGAGGAAAAGGGAGGACAGCCAGTCACCCGCACTCGGACCATCCTAGCCCGGAAGTGGTGCACGCTGGTCAGGTTCCCGTCCACTGGTAAGAGCTGTCCCAAGGACTCACCTCGAGGGCAGACTGCGAGGAGGTGGTTCCTGGCTGGGCCGATGCCTCCCAGCCACAGCTGCAGACTCTGGAGCAAGTGTGCAGGTGGACAGAGCCTCTCCAGGGCTTGCTTGTGGCGCACACCTGTAATCCCAGCTGCTTGGGAGGCTGAGGCAGGAGGATCGCGAGTTCAAAGCCAGCTTCAGCAACTTAGTGAGACCCTGCTATATAAAATATAAAAGAAAGGGCTGGGGATGTGGTTCAGGGGTTAAGCACTCCTGGGTTCAATCCCCTGTACAAATAATAATAATAATTCCGAAGTTCTGTGTACTTTTCTAGGTCTGTTGCTCCTAAGCCTGCTTCTCTTCCAGGCCTGATACTCCCAAACTCCTGGGAAATCTGTAAATTTACCTGTACACTGTCAATGACCCCCAGTAAATAGATTAAGCAAAGGGAGATGACAATCTTGAGGACTCTGTAGTGTAGGGGCCTTCCCAGCACTGTGTACTGATCGGGCGATGGTCGAGAGCCACCCGGGGACTGGGTGTGGATGATATTGCGCGTCGCAGCCTAGTGAACAGGTTAATCTGGAGTCAGGAAACCTGCAGTGGACATTTCCTCTGGTTGACCGCCCACACACATAGTGAGCCCTATTCGACTCTGCTGGTCCCGCACAGCACCGGAGATGGGGTGACCTGCTACAACCACCCAGACGCCCAGCCCCTCTGAGATGGGTGTGACCTGCCCAGATGCCAATCAACCAGCTGACTGCAAGATGTCAGGACGCAAGACTCCGCCCGAGAAGCCTTCCCCCTGCCTTTGATGTGCCCCCTTGAGTGAACCCCGGGAGCCATTTTTCTAGTTGTCCATCTCCAGCTCCTGTGTGGACTGGACCCATCAGGGCTCCATCTTTAAAACTCTTTCTGACTCATGGTCTTTTGCTCTTCACTGATCATTCTAGACTTTCATTTCTCAGGAGGCTTATCCCCCTGAGCAGGCGAGAATCCCCTGGCGAGGTGCTGGCTACCCCGTGATAGGTAATGGAGGCTCCCAAGACTGACCAGACCACCGGGACTCATCTCGGGGTCCTGCCACCTTCCCATGCCCACCTTTCTCCAGGTTTCCTTT